TAGATGGTTGGACTGAAGGAAAATTATGATGAACGTATATTTGTATATTTGAACTGAAAAGAACTCGGTTATCTCGTTGCATCCTGAAGAGAATGAAGAGTCTATGTGTATTGCCGCGAGCTATATATTTTTTATTGACATCTGCAACTGCACAGATCAGTCACAAAAAATTCACTTAAGGTGTTGCTGCGTAAATAGAGTGGTTTTGAGTCTCGATTTATGATTAATTTAGCATATATGAGGATCGCTCTTTGTGCATGTTTTTCCGTGAGTAATACCATTTTTTCATGTATATGTATCGCTTCCTTTAGCGCTCTCTGTATCCACGTAAAATCGTTTTTTAGTTTTGTTGGCAACTCCGCCTGCAGTTCTCCTAGAGTTACTACCAATTCCAAGCTTGTGCAAAGGAGGAGGGTTGGGCATGGGGTCGCCAAACCCATCCTGTGGAAAAAATCTTGCTAAAAACGCTGACCAGATTAAACAGTTTTGTTGGCAGATAGTATCATACGGTCTAGAAATATAAAGTCTAGTGCAACACCTTGATATCTTTGGGCTTTTAGAGTACTATTTAACGTTTTTTTTCACATAACATCGACCACTTTTATATGTAAATTTTTGATCATCAATGCCTAGTTCGCGGAGTCTACTATCAAGAGATGGTAATAAAGCTTCATACATATCCGAAATATACATTTCACGAGACGAATGCCCATTCTACCGACCATAGAAACCATTCATATAAGTACATGGAATGTCCGGACAATGTGGGAAGCCGTGACGAACAGTCAAATAGTTACGGAAATTAGAAAATCCTAAAATACGACACAGCTTGTATCAACGGAATCACACTTGATGAAGAAGCTCTGAAAGGGGTGGAAAGTTTCATGTATCTGAGCAGCATCATCGAGAGACGCTGTTATACTCTGATCACCAAGTGGAAATGCTCCACACCCTCCGGAGGTTGCTCTGATGCTATCCAAAGAAGAACGAAATGCACTCATCGGGTGTGAATCTCATGGAACCAGAATTATCAAAGCACCCTTCAAAACAAAGAAGGAGGGAATCACAATGAATGTTGTCTAACGTTATGCGCCACCGATGATAGCAGTGATGAAAATAAGGATCGCTTTTACGAGAGGCTCCAATCGATCATAAAGAAGTGCTCAAAAAAGGACCTGACCATCCTGATGGTTGATCTGAATGTCAAAGGCGGAATGGGCAAACCGAGTAAACAAGTATCACGGGACGATATATACAAGGAGAAAGGAATGAGTATGGTAAGAGATTCGTTTGTGGACGGCACAATATTCCTACACAAACGGATACACAAAGCTTCATAGGTACCACCGAATCACACCACATTACGAAGAACCAGACAGGTCATCCCGCGAGGCGGCATAGTGCATGCGCACTGTTGAGGAGTCGCACTGTAAGGTGGAACGGCCGTCCAGTGCTTCCAGGTCTTCCATGGTGGTCTAGCTTTAATTTACTCATGATCGTAACTGTTAAAGTTACTATAATATCCACAGAACCACTTCTGATATTAATCAATATATGATCACCAGTGACTGGCTTCAAGAGGTATTTCTTGGAGTTTTGGTGAGAAGCAGTAACCAGTGGAGTTCAACTGGGTTTGTTGTGAGATAGTAACTAATTGAAGACAGCGGTGGATGTGTCGCTCATTAACACTGTTGAATGCTAGCAACTACTTGAAACACTAATCAATATTGGAATTCCCGAGGTTAATTTCATAGAATTACTTTTGAAATGTACAATGAATGTGAATTGTGTCTTTAATAACATATATTCTAGACAAATTGATGGTATAGTGATGGGCTCAACTCTAGGTCCAATCCTTGAAGATTTTTTCTTGAGAAACTGGAAAACGGACCTCTCAAATTTGCTATTGATATGCTTGACTTCTACTGTCGTTGTGTTGATGATACTTTAATTATTGTCGATCAGAACATTGTAAAAGAAGAACTATTAAAACCGTTTAACAACAAACATCCAGCAATTAAATTTACGTGAGAAGAGGAACTAGATTATGGATTACATTTCCTTGACGTTCTGTTTAACAGAAAAGAGAACGGTTCCATCAGTAGAAGTGTGTACAGAAAAAGTTCTTCATCATCTTCCTCACACATTTCTTAACCTTTGTACCCCTTCATTATAAGATAAACTTAGTCCAATATCTGGCAAGTAAGGCTATTACGATATGTTCAGTCGATACCATTAACAAGGACTTAGAGCTCATACACAATATGTTGACTGAAATGGGTTGTCCACAGAGTTCCCTGATGAAACATTGCGTGTAACAAACAAGAAAATAGTGATATCATTGGTTAGTAAGAAATATCTCCTACCAATTTCTACTGTTCACTTATTCTGTTTATTTATGTGATCTATTCCACTGTCACCACTGACTTGTAGCGTGGCGTCGAGTTGCGGTTGACTATGATCACCGCTACAAGAAGGTTGCGTACCAGATATCAGAAGGCGATTGGAGGTTGTAGCAGGATATATTTGTTGGCGATCTCGTGGTACGAAAAGAATACTGAGATCGTGCACAAGCGGAATCACTGAGCAAACATGGGTGTGTACAAGGTCACAAGCAACGGAAAAATATGTCTTTAGTACAGTTAAACAAACAAGTACAGTAAAACAATCACTGGTACAATTGGTTATAAAAATAATTGTTTCCATTACACCAATCGTGTTCTCTTGATAAAAGTAGGTCACTACAGACTCATAAACTGCCTTGATTGGTTCAATAATTTCGTATATGCATATAAATATTACTGTAAAGCCTGGTGAGAATCTAATCAAAAACAATATTGTTCGCTGATATATTTTGTTCTGAATTACAATATGGGAATATTTCAAATTATTTTATTTTGTCTGACAATCCTAAATTCACATGCTTTAAATAATGTACTTTGCCCTTAACCTGGCCATTTTTCAGATTATTAATTTGGACATATAATTATGGGAATTTAAAGCAATTGGTCCCTTTGATAAATTTCGGTAGTGTAATAAGGCTAGGATTATCAGAACTATGTGATATATTACCTCGATGCATTTCGAAAAATGTGATCGTACTTATACTTGTTAAGAACCTTTATACATAAAAGGTCAACTAGACTAGAAATAAAGGTTAAGGGGAGACAAGGATAATAAAGAAATAATAGTCATAATGACCCAATAAGAGTGGAGGATAAACATTCATCATTCCCTATTGCCAAACACATAATTGAAACAGGACATAAGATTTACCTTAACTCGGCTTTTGTCGTGATGTACAAAAGTGTAAAAAGGTGTTGTAAGGCCAGCCAAATGTCACTAAGCCCTAGCCAAATCATCCGGCGGTTGGGTCACTGAATATCGAAACGGTCATCGATCCCTATCAAGGTCAAATATAACCAACGCGCATCAGTTGATCGTACGCCATAAACAGGCACATGCGACAGTGGTCTTTCGCTTGTGTCTACCTTAACTGATATAATTCTGTAATAACGTCCTCTGTGTTGCACAGTCTTCAAAGCATCTATAGTACCTTGATACGGCAGTGGGGTAGTCCACGTAAGGTGCTGACCACGAGGTGTAACTTCTACGTTAACTGGTTCGTCACACTATTCCCGTTTAACTTGAGTAAGCCTCCAATCATTTCGACATAGATCATCTATGTCGGTGATCTACAGCGTATGCTAAGGTTCACGAAAGCATTAGCCACACGAAAATTCAACCCCCCTCTGTGTATTCAAAACAGTTTGTTCTCACCTTAAGCTTAATCCGGTAATATTAGCTTATTATCCAGAGTGATGAGGTTTCAAGTTGTTTTCATATTAGTTATTTATTATCTTTGTCTCCCCTTACCCTCGATTTCTAGTCGACCTTTTATTTTCATATATAAATGTACTTAACAAGTATATGTGTGATAAGATTGTTCGAAATGTACTGTGCTAATACATCACATAGTTCCGATAATCTTCGTCCTTTTATTACACTATCGACAATTGTAGAACCTGGAGAGAATCTATCGAAAAGATTATTCTTCATTCAAATACTAGTCTTTTAATACAATATACACTTATTTTGAAGAGTAAATAAATGTGCATTGCACCAGTCTTCTTACTTTGTGAAGTGGGAATTACGATGGTTCTGGATATCAGCTATAGACATTAAAGTTGTGGTTACAACAAACGAAATGAGCACGGAGCTTTAAGCCAAGTACATCACAATCACAGTTGAAATCCAGTAGTCTATATTATCTGATTCCATAGACTTATTGCACAACACGATTTAATACCTTCATTGACATCGTATGAAGACAGTTGGATAACATGAACAGCACACGGAAGATTTTCTTATCAATATTTATTTACCAACTGTCTTCTGTCTCGTTAACAATGAGTTTATCACTTAAATACCCATAATTTGCATGATATAAGGATCCCTTCTATTTTGAAATCTCAGTCATAACATCACTAAGGAAGATGAGGTATCACAAGACTGATAACATCTGGATCCATATATTTGAAATACCGAGTTAACGTGTAACAACCTTTAAACCTCAATCTCCAATCATATAACTACGGTAACTTTAAAATGCTGAAAATTCCCAGTATAAATTACAACAGTATTGTTTTTAGTTAGATCACCAGGCTTAATTTCAATATACAGTGATATTTAGATACATATATCAAGTAGTCAAGGCAGTTTATGAGTTCAAGTATAACTGAACACAATTAGAAAAAGGGCAAATTTATAGTATGATGGCAGGTATACTAGTTGTTACATGAATAATGAAATCAATACATCCACTCGACAAAGCTGTTTTGATCAGAATTAGTTTTTTGCAATTTTACGTACTAAGTGTATTTAGTGCATTGCAAAACGACAGTTATTGTACTCAATTACAATCCATATTAAGTGCATAAGTAGAGCAAAAACAACAGATGCCTATAAGTTAACAAATCAAAGTGCATAAGACAAACAACCTCGCCTTTATGCTAACATTATAAATATATATGTGATGAGGCACTACTAATAACTCATTTTTTCAAATCTTTATCAGACGTATCAAATTTGGAATTTTTATTTCAAAAGAAATATGAATAACTCAATACTAATTACTCTAATTATAATACTAATTTATTCTCAAAGAATTAATGCAGGTACTGACTATAAAAAACGTCGACAAATGGACGGCGTTGGTTTGCGGACAACTATGAATAGTTTTAAAACTTATGATGAAATCCTCAAACACCCTTTTGATTTTAATTTACACGGAGATGACATGAAAATCTTTGACGAGTTCCTAAAATATCTTATTGATGGGTGTCTGGATCCCAACAAATGGTTTGAATCTATCATATAACAGTCCCAGCATGATTGTGGTTGGAAGTAACCCTCCTATTCAATTCATCGTATAAACTAATTCGATATTATCAAAACAGAAAAAGCAGTGATGAGTAAACTGGATTAAAATGGTTACTTTCCCTTGTAAACCGTGTCTACTAGTATTTATATTCTGTAACTTTGATGATAAGTTATCAAGTATATACTAAATTAACAAACGACTTAATTCAATACCATACTTCAGACGGATGCCTTATTAAATTCATTTCAAGTGTTAATATAATTTGAGTAATCAAACCCACATGCTCGGTCATTAATAATTACAACTTTAATAATCTCTGCTAATAACAAACACACTTTATATTAGTTTAGGAGAGGGTTGCGCACGGACTTTAACCTATGATTCCTGCATACCATTATCAAAGAAACTCCACTGATTAGAACTTGAACAGTGTATTCATCCCTTGATACACAAATCAACATCTTATCTGTACCACAGGTTATCGGTCATTACTCAATAACTCTACTCTCAAACCTACGATCAATTATTCTTGGCTTAACTGTGATGTACACAATTACATTAAAGTGGGAAACGATAAGGGTGATAGTGGTTTATAACCTACAAGTGCTACATCGAATTTTATATGACAAAGTGGTCAAGCATTTGTCCAGCATGGATATAATATGCAGAGCGATCTGGCAGTACCAAGATTGTTGCTATTGTAAAGAGCAGAACGTCATAACGTCGGACATCTAAGGTAAAAGAGTCAAATACAAATGAGATCTAACTAATCTGCAGTTATTGGGGCTGATATTATGTTCTAAAAGTCCTCATCAGCGTTACTGACGAACTAGTGTGTCTTCTGAAAAGCGGTTTGAGGTTGTAGGCTAGTAAATTTCCAAGAAAAATACACACGATACTCATGCAAAGATTTAGTCGGGTTTATTTAGATACTAGTTTCAAATTTCCTAATAATATGACTCATTATAAGACAGCTAGATAGTATTAGCGGGAACAGTTCCATGCAGGTTGATACCTTACAAGAAAGACAAACGCTACCAAAAACGAACTTTTAGTATCCGAACAATCTCCATCATCCATAAATCATTTAAAGTTACTAGTTATATTTGATAGACAAGGTTTTATACACTATGAGATCCCGATATCAAATCCTGCCCAGAAGACATTGTACGAGGAGCTCAAGTATGGACAGAATTACTTCCAGTGAATTACTCATCTTGTCAGTCACGGATCACTTATACTCGCCCGGACAAGTCTAATATAAGATAAACTAAGTGTCTTGCGTCTATGTTATGCGGCCGTTGAGAGTAAATCTTTACACTTGCTACATACGGATGGTTGAACAGGTACTAGGAAGTGTGTACTATGACTGAGTCAAACACGACAAGCCTTACGTGCGTTTTCCCCCCATAAAATTGAAATGGAGTCTGGAACCGAATGCATAAAAGCAACAGCAAGTATTTTGATGAGACTGACGTATATATTCAAGTGCGGTAAGTTCACACAACTACAACAATGTTATTACATAACTCCATGGTGCACCTAGGGCAACACTAACTTACTAACTGATAAGCGGATATGTAAGAAATAAAAATATCGGAAAAGATGTTTGACGAAACTCTCATCTCCACCAACAATTATTTATCTGTTTGAACACAAACACTGGCACAAGGAGGCACCAAATACATATGCGCCACACGATAACAATAAGGTTGTGGAGATAGATAATATAAAGTGCGTATAACAAAAACAACATCGGACAGAAATTGGTGCATGAGCGAAATACTACCACTAGTAATAACGTAGGGAGAAATAATTTGGTTAGTAAAAATACAACCAGGATTTATTCAGTGAAAGACGTTACGTTTAACTTTAATTGTCATTAATTTGTGAGCGGGCTGAGATACCACACGGATGCACAAACCGATAGCAGATTTTCATGGGGCGGGGGCACCCCAAGCCTTTGAACAAAAGGCTTGATCCGAAAGGCAGTGGAGCGACGTCAGGAGATACAGCCCCATGGCAGTCAGTGACCAACAAAAGGTTCACACTCCACTTGTTCCCTCGGGGTACTGGAGACAATGTGCATCATTGATCTGGAACTACGGTTCTCCATCCCCTACGTGAGTCCCCATACCCACCAACCCAGTTAAGGAACCAGACATTCGCTTTTTGTCCTCTCGATTTAATAGACAACACCCCAACCACGAGAAGGCAGTGAGTAGGACTCTCTTGACTTTTGTAAATTGAAGTGAATGAGATGCCAAATATTTGATATCCACTTTCAATCGGCGATTAGCTAGGCGTTCGGAGATTGCCCTGGCAAAGAATTAGTTTTGCGAAATATACCATCCAGGGTTTTGAGAAACATTAAATCAAGTTTTCATTATTTTTGACATGGAAACAAGGTGCATTTGCTTATCAGAACCAAATATCATTTGGAATTCTGCAGTAGGAACTTATGGGTTCAGTGTCGACCAAACAAATATGGTGCAAATTTGTTAACTAATTCATTATTTTTCTTACGAATCTTCACACTGCCTTGCTCACTGGAATCAGAACTCTTTCGTACTACATCCGAATATTTAGAACCGTATGCATGGTACTAATCCCAAGACATTTACAAAGCTATCATTTGAAACAAGCTATTTAAACCTCATTAACAATCGAAGTTTAATAACAACACTAAAATACACACACGTTTTCGACTTGCGGTGATTGGAGCTCGATTTTTCTTCCCTGAAAACTATTTCAAACGAATCGTTAGCTACGGAAGACCTATCAGCGTTTCTCAATGGTTTGAGCCGAAGTTACCACTAATGAAGGCTGAGCGTACAAGGACCTATAGGATTTCCACGCTGAAATGCTCATTTATATACCATGAATAGATCGATGTCAAATCGGAGGATTCAGATTAGAATTTGGCAGAACACAAAGAGTGTATGCACCTGCGCCATTGCAAACGATTCTGAGCCTTGTCATTCAGGGTCTCTAACCATCGGTTGCTATCATCTCGCGGTCTACACCTACCAACATGACTCAGTTCACTTGTCAGTGACTTCATGGACTTGTGCCATGTTTTGGTTTGACCGCCTCTAGCTTTCTTCCAACCTACTCCTATACCACTGAACATAGCACGTCGAGGCAGTCGGTCGTTGGGCATACGTAACACGTGTCCCAGCCATCTCAACTGATGAAGTTTCACTACTTCATCAATTGATTTGCCATCCTTACCTAGTACCCGTTTCCTAGCAACTGTGTTACTTACTCGATGGTCCCATGATATACGGGCAATGTTTCGAAGACACCTATGATCGAATACTAGTAACCTACGAATATCTTCTACTCTTACCGGTCATGTTTCACTGCTATGAAGTAGGACGGAACGAACTGCTGTACAGTAAACACGTCCTTTGGTTGATAGACGGACTAAATACAGTTCTAAAGCAACTGAGATTCACTGAGGAAACACGTACAAGACCAGCACATCTACTAGTGGTCAACTTGCTTTTGCTGCTGTGATTGATGAAAAGCACGTAGTAATAAAATTTGGACCAACTGAAGCAAAAGCTGACTGACCGAAAATCTAATCTCATGTGTTTCTGTATTCGAGTAAGTTTGCATGACATAAATAATAAGAAGCAGTAGATAGAAAGTTATTGTTTACAAACATCATAGTACAATAAATATATGCTTGCAACAGTTTATCCATGAGATCAATTTTCTGTTGCAACAGGGAACCAATGATAGACTAACAAGCACATGCAAATATAACAAGTATTAGGATAGTTGAATACATGTTAGAAATTATGCAAACCCAAACGAAACATAGAATCGGTGATGAGAAAACAATGGTTAAATTTGCGAAGGAAAAACACTTCACAAAACGGTAGTACCTGATCTTCATCACACTAAAAAAAGATAGTACAGGGGAATGCGAGTAATCATATTGAAAAATACATAGTTATTGAGAGTATAAGATATTTTCAAACTTAGACGCACCTTAACTGATTTTTAAGTTCTTGTAGCGTAGACCTTATCTAATAACAATTGTGTGGGAAGTTAAACTCAACTAACAAGTACAACCAGACGAAGCAGAAAACCATAAGGACATTTCTAAAATTGGTATGCGGTCTTGTTCGTGGTGACCATTTATTGAGACCTTATTTGAGATACCTTTTAGGATATAAATCTAAGTACATATAGAATTTATTTGGCAATGACGGAAAACAAAAATGCTGTCTGAATAAGTTGAATAGAAATCCTAAATATTCTCTTCAGTCATCCCACACTTGATTTGCTAAAACTAGATAAAAAGTATCTCTTTAAAAGATAAGTCACAATCGCGAGTTTCAAAATTTAGCTAACTAGATATATGATGTTAAGGCATACAGGCAAACCTGATTCAGATACACAATATTTGATCTGAACTCCAATTAGATGGTACAAGAGGTTATGAAAGTAGAAGGGTATGAATTATCGATAACTTGTCTACTTGGTGTTTATAAGTGTTACGATGAAAGGGCATAGAAAAATACAAACAAGTTACCAATTAAAGGCTTAATAAGAACGGTGAAGACGTAAAACCGATGTCAGTAAAAGAGCGACGAACTTGTAAGGAAGTTAGTTTAGATGATGGACATGGCTTGTAAAAGAGAACGTTAGGGATGAGAAATTCTATCAAATGACCACTAGTCCTAGATCAACCACTGTTGATATTTCTGACAGAAGTTCGGAAAAATATTAGTGACAGGAACGATATTTCGTTACATGAACACCGGTGAGGCTATAATTGATAGAAGAACCAATAAGACTTATGACAACAAGCTTTGACGCTAAATTGTCCATCCACTTGGTTAAATAGCTTTTTGGCATTTTATCTGATGTTAGTTCGTGATGAAAAACCCAAAACCTAACTGCTAACTGTAACCATTAACTGTAAACCATAATTCTAATGGACACCTACATTTAGACATGCAGCGAAGATCATAACATTTAACACTTAAGATTCTTAACTATTGGTCTCGATGAACTTGATGGCTTTACTTAGTGTTTTTCTCCAAACTTTCAGTAGGTCAACTTCAACCCAAGTACTGTGAGATCTACTTTGGGTAACATCCTTGATTAGTTCAAACGGGATATCTATCAGTAACATAATACTGGACTGTTTTGAAAGACATGGTTTTGAAAAGTTTTGATAACCGGCCAACTTGTGTTAAATAAATCGTTCATCCCTATTATAATTTTTTTCGGTGGGAATAGAGCTGATGGTATGTTTGAAACATTTATGAATAAGTATAGTGCACAGACCCAGTGTAGGCTAAGTGTACTCATGATGTTCATTAAAGGAGGGAAACTGGCCATTATGAATATTTGTAGACTTCAAACATATACTTGTATAGTTTCTACTGGTTTAAGCATTTTGTAACACATATCGAGCTAAAAAATGCAATTGCAGTTCCGGGTGTATTTATCAAATTAAAGGGTGTCAGAGAAGTATGACTTCTTACCTGAACTTGTCCACAGACAAAAATAAGAACAGAATTTTCGTTTGGATGAACATCAACATTAGTTATACCCACCTGAATTTTATTAGCAGGAAGTGACTTAAAAATACTATTTGAATCATCAGAAAACTTACAAGAAACTTTTCACCAATTTTATCTTGACCTACTAACACATCACCTTCGTATGTCATCCTTGCTTGGTTCTATAACAAACATTTAAATGAGTGAACCAACTACGTGATAAAAAAGTTTGAGAGAGCTTCTATCTCGCTGCATGGTATCGTAGTACTCCATAACGAAACTTTCACCTATCTGTCGATAGTTTTCAGGATACAGCGAGTGGTTCAACATAACTACCGTGCCGAATAATCGGAATATGACGCGGGCTTGAAGTGGTGTAAAACTCTATATTCAATACCCAATATCACAGTAACAGGCTAGCATATAATATTTGATTTTTCGCTTTTATTTAATGGTGTCATGTAGTCGTTCCGCACTTTTTGTTTGCCTTTAGCGACACACGGAAGGCAAACGTGTATATTTTGTCGAGTGGTTCAAATCATTCTCGACGGAATAGAAGAAACCCTCGCCTAACAGGCTTCCTTATCTAGTGGCCGCGGATCACCGATGCCACCAAGTTAGAACCCAGTCAAATTTAACAATAAGAGAAAAAAATTAAGTTTCAGCGAGATACTCTCCTTGATCATTTAGAACATGTCAAGTTTTCTTACAAAGCACTCCCCGAAAGTCCCTTGGACTAGCTCACCTAGCAGTGAATTCCGGAACTTACCTATTCGTTAAGAGTGAAAGATAGGTCTATACTTCGTTTTGCTATTCTCTGTCTTTGAATTTAAGGTGCTACCCTTGAAGTTTGTGTTAGGACTGAGGTTAAGTGGGAGTTTAATAGTGTAGCGGTAAATAAATCCCTAAAATAAGTAGCTCTGTAATTTTTCGACATTGGATGCTGACCACAGGTTTTAGTGGACTCATCTAGCTGAAGGCACTCGGTCAGGCATCCGTACCTAATCACGTGTGGTAACGCCGTGCTCAACATCTACCACAATCGCTAGCCAGATTAGATCAGAGAATTCCGATATTTTGGTTATCGCCAAATACACTCTTCCGATCTCCTCGACTCTGCCTTTTGATTTCTCTGGGTGGTTACGAATTATATTAGAAGGTGTTACTGGTAGAAGCGTTGTCAAACACTGAATACCTGTGTCATCTTCATTGATGAGCCCGACGTGATCTGGTACACCGAATTGCAACTGTGAGTCCATTCCTTTTTGGGATTTTCATATATTATTGCCCTACTTTTTATTTTTTTTATACATTGTGATATTTTTTCCCGCGTCTCAGGATATCTATATTTTTCCCTCGTATTCTCGTACTTAATATTCCCCTATGACTGAACAGACTCCTAAGTTATTTAAGATTAAAACCATGTTCTCACCCTCGTTCCAACTCATGCCTTTCTGGCCCGACAATATCGAAGCCTGGTTCTGCTACGCAGAAGCCGACTTCCACGAGCACGGCGTGAACGACACACGTGCACAATTCCTCTCAGTAGTCAAGGCACTACCGCGGGAATTCAACAGGTACATAACACCTAGTATGTTTACTAGTGATGTTTCTGAACCTTACGAAACCTTAAAAGGTTCGATTCTTAAACGAGGAGACCTAACCGATCGACAAAGGTTAGATCAACTCTTTAATAACATAGACCTGCAGTACGGTTCTGCGACGGACATGTTGCAAGGAATGGGAGAGGTGGTAGGCACAAGAACTTTCGACGAAGCTTTGTTCAAACAACTCTTCTTGTCTAAACTTCCCCAACAGGTGCAAGCGGTTCTGATCTCGTTTCAGAACAACGCCTTAGACGAACTGGCTGCATCTGCCGATCGTATTTTAGAAATAACGAAATCTTCCACTACCGACGTATTTTCAGTCAAAGAAAAGCCTCACACGACTCAGAATGACATAACCGAGTTATGTCATACATTCACGCGTTATCTTAATCTTCGTAACGACCGTAATGGCTCGCACACCCTACGTAGAAGCATTTCACGTAAGCGATCTGTCTCTAGACCACGAGAGACGGATAACCCCGACTGGTGCTGGTATCATAACCAGTATGGAAAGTTTTCCAGAAATTGCAGAAAACCCTGCAATTTTCCCAACACGAAACCGACTGATTCAAAAAGCAATTCGGGAAACTTCCAAACCGGCACGCGTTAACGGCAACCGTAGCCGGCGAACAAAGCCGTCTGTTATTCGTCACAGATGTGACAACGAGAGTTCGCTACCTCGTCGACACTGGCGCAGAAGTTAGCGTTCTCCCAGCGAATCCCAACGACCGGCTTAACGAATCGGCTCTAAACTTACAGGCGGCAAACGGAAAACCGATCGCTACGTATGGCAAAATATACGTTTACCTTAACGTGGGTTTACGCAAACCCATCCACTGGATCTTCGTTGTTGCAGATGTTTCTATGCCAATTATTGGTATAGACCTTCTACAACACCATAATCTGATCATCGATACGCGCAAACGGAGGCTAGTAGACGGAAACACTAATTTGTCCGTTTGCGTAACTTCTTTTACTGGTTGCAGAGTATCCCCAGTCACAGTTAAACATATGATAGAACCACTCTATCAACCACTACTCGATAAGTACCCTGGGATACAACAAAGTCAACTGAAACTACCGTGTGTAACCAGCAACGTTACACATCACATCACGACTACAGGACCACCTGTATTCTCTAAAGCACGACGACTAGCTCCCGAAAAGTTAAGGTTGGGAAAAACGAGTTCGACCGTATGATAGACTTAGGAATCATACGACCGTCAAGTAGCCCATATGCATCTCCGTTGTACATGGTCCCTAAAAAGGACAGCAACGATTGGCGTCCAACTGGTGACTATCGGCGATTGAATGCGAAAACCATTTCCGATCGTTACCCGTTGCCTCACATTCACGATTTGACAGCTACTTTGAAAGGTACAACTGTCTTTTCGAAAATCGACTTGGTTAAAGCGTATAACCAAATCCCTATGGCTACTGACGACATAACGAAAACAGCTATCATTACTCCCTTCAGACTCTACGAATTTTTGCGAATGCCTTTCGGTTTAAGAGACGTAGCTCAAACATTCCAAAGATTCATAGACGACGTTTTTCGAGGTCTCAACTTCGTACATGCGTATGTTGAAGACTGTCTAATCACAAGTTCGGACATAGAAACACATCTCAAGCATCTGGATCTTGTTTTCGAACGACCACAAAAACATGGCATTACTGTAAACGTTCAGAAATGACAAATTGGAACCGACTCATTAGACTTTCTGGGACACGCTATCGATGCTCAAGGTATCCGACCCCTTAGAACCAAAGTGGTGGCCAATCTGGATTACCCAGAACCAACCATCGTCAAGCAATTACGCACGTTTAACGGCCTGGTAAGTTTCTATAGACGTTTCATACCGAAATGCACATTACTCATGAAGCCTCTGACCGACCAACTTCGTGGAAATACGAAATCGATTAATTTGGACGACACTGCACGAAGAGCATCCTCCACAGTTAAGGAACTGATTGCTAAAGCAACAATGCCTGCTCATCAGGACACGGAAGCACTCATTAGCATCGCAGTAGTCGCATCCGACTCAGCATTCGGAGGAGTCTTACAACAATGGGTTAACAACTCCTGGCAACCCTTGGCATTTTTCTCTAGAAGGTTGCTAGACACCGAATCGAGGTACAGCACATTCGGCAGGGAACTCCTAGCTATGTATTGTGCTGCACGGCATTTCCAACACTATATCGAAGGCCGTGAATTTGTAGTGGCATTGAACAATAACCGCACAATCCACAAAGCTGTGAACACGAGACTACTCAGAAAATAGATATTCAATATTTAACTCGGGGAAATACCTAACAATGGAGAAGGCGCGTAGAATGGATTGAATGGACTGGAGTTGATCGAGTGGCATGGCTCGGCCATGCAGGCGTGGTCTCTGCTGAATGTTACCTTATATCTTCTATTCACATTAAATATATTGTTCTTTCTCTAGCCTAACCTTGTTCTACATCATGTATTGGTAATTGATACGATACAGTGAGTTGGCGTAGTCGATGGTGTGACTTCCACGTAAGATCTTATAGATTAGGCAGTTATATCACGACAAATCTACAAATTTAGGATTAGGTCTATTATTAGAGCAGTACTAATATCATAGTAGACCATAAAAATTACAAATTCACTCTTTTCACTGACCACAAGCCGCTCACCATCTCTATAAGCTCTCCTTAAGACAAGTACTCACCTCGTGAGTCTCGACAACTGGACTACATTTCGCAGTTTACTTCAGATATTCAACACATCTCTGGAGCAAACAATGTAGTTGCAGACGCCTTATCTCGCATAACTTCCTTGAACAGTTTCCAAGGAATCGACCTTCTGAAGCTCGCCGAGCTTCAAAAAGATGACACTGATCTTCAGCAAGAGTTATCGTTCACAACCCTCAAGTTACGTATCAAACAGATGGGAACAGGTAAGAAAACCTTACTGTGTGACACATCTACAGGTAGGGATCGCCCAATCGTGCCTAAACATTATCGATGCAACGTCTTCAATACGTTGCACAAACTTTCTCATCCAGGTGTTCGTGCAACCATCAAGCTTATAGCAGAACGGTTTTGCTGGCCTGGCATGAATAAAGATGTGAGGGAGTGGGCACGCTCCTGTGTAAGCTGCCAAAATTCTAAGGTTATCAGACACAATAAATGTCCCTTAGGCTCTTTCAAAACTCCCGACGCTCGTCTCGACCATGTTCATCTGGATTTGGTAGGACCGTTACCAGATTCAAATGGATACTCTTACCTCTTAACCTGCGTAGACCGTTTCACTCGATGGCCAGAAGCAGTACCTATCAAGGACATCACTGCTGAAATAGTGGCTCGCACCTTCGTCGAACGATGGGTAGCAAACTTTGGCTGCCCTTCAACCATCAGTACAGACCGCGGAAGTCAGTATGAATCTGAACTTTTACGTCGTCTGACCACACTTTTAGGAACCACTCGCTTCCGAACGACCGCCTACCACCCACAAGCAAACGGGTTGGTAGAACGCTTTCACTGACAACTAAAAGCTTTACTATCAGCTGCAAACGTGTAGTGGCATTGGACAATAGCCACACAATCCACAAAGCTGTGAACACGAGACTACTCAGAAAATAGATATTCAATATTTAACTCGGGGAAATACCTAACAATGGAGAAGGCGCGTAGAATGGTTTGAACGGACTGGAGTTGATCGAGTGGCATGGCTCGGCCATGCAGGCGTGGTCTCTGCTGAATGTTACCTTATATCTTCTATTCACATTAAATATATTGTTCTTTCTCTAGCCTAACCTTGTTCTACATCATGTATTGGTAATTGATAC